TCTCAAATAATCAACAAGTTTACTTATCTTGATGCTTATCCTTCATCTAATATCGAAGGGTTGGTGAGAGCAGTCTCAAAATTTGACGTTTTTAGCACTTTTGACCTAGAAAGTGCGTATATCACCAGTTCCCTATAAGAGATTATGAAAAACAGTCCACTGTTTTTGAAGCTTATGGAAACCTTACGGCGTAGCTTGTTTTCAAAGAGTCTTAAATACAATAATCAGGCAAGAGAATCAAGAAGGCATATCTCGTTGATACAACAATTTGTGGAAAAAAATCAAGAAGAACACAATAAGAATCTATCAGCTTTTCTGACAGCTGTTAAAAAGTAGAACCAAACGGTAAATAAAAGTAAAAGTTCGTTTAACAAAAATACAATTAAACTACTGGGATATCTTATAGGAAACAGAACACTTAAACCTGATCCTGCAAGACTTGGACCTCTACAGAATCTGCCACTACTAACTGATAAAGCTTCACTTCCAAGAGCTGTGGGCATGTTCGCGCATTACTCTTAATGGATACCTACACTGATAAAATTAATTTAGGTATATTCAAATAAATGGCGTATTTGGCAAAGTTTCATTCTTACGGAATAATTTTTATTCGCGTTAAACAAAATATGTTTGAAAAAGAACATTTCTTCATTTTTTAATTGTTTGTTCTCCATAGGTGATTTATTTGTTTTATAATATGTTAGGCGAAACAAATATTTGTTCTGAAATAATTCTAAAATGGGAGTTCGGACCCCAAATACCCAGTTATTTGGAACAAACAATTTTTTTACTTGACAAAATTATTCGGAGGAGCTCCCCACCTGGGACATCCAGGCATCAGGCGAGCAAACGGCAGTTGCAATAGTTGTCCATTTTGTGCAAGAGCTGTTAGAAGTGAAGTACTAAATTTTATGTCGCGCGGGCCCTGTGTGGTGAAAAACTTGGTGAAAAATGTATTAAGTATAAACAGGCCACTATTATCACCTAGACTAGACTGGATGTCAAAGGACTGCTGGTGCAGTGGGCCTTTAAACGCCCCCAAAACTCGTTGGTCATCACTCAAACAAAACTGACACTCAAAACCGAGCAGTGAAATAACATTCGATGACACCGGAAATAAAAGGGTAAAACCGACATAGAGACTATTTTCACTCAAGCTTGATTCTTTTGGATTTTTCGTTGTTTTCTATTATTTACTATTTACCTACTTATCTCCGAGAGTATATTTCAACATGTTTCTTCTTTCCTTTCATCACATGCCAAGAAGCAATTAATGACCGGAACATACACTAAATTCAACATCGATCATTTTCTCATTTCTTTAAATGTTTTTCACAATCTTTAAATGGTTCTTCCTGGCAGATGAAATACTTATGCAGCCTGTGGAGAGAACCAAGTATTCTCACTTGGAACCTTAGAAATAGCAAAAAAGTACCTTTTGCAAGTAGGTATAGCCAGCAAAATTTCCTTCACTAACCAAAAGTAACCCAAACCTGCTAGAAAACAAAAAATGTTCGTGATTATTTCAATTCGAAATAAAAAAAAAAGAAAGAATTCCCCATATAACAAAGAATATCAATTTTCTACTAATTGGCCTGTCCCTCGAATTTTTGCACCCGAAGGAATTCCGAAATGGATTCCGTCTTTTTTGTTTATATTTTAATTTATTTGCTTTTTCCTCTTCTAAGACAAGAAGAGATTTTTCGGTGTATCCGAAGGTTTCAATTAATTAGGACGGGCCGAATTTATGGGCCTCAAACGCGGATCTGGTTTTTATCTCCAGGAGAATTATGGTCCTTGTCGTCCGGAGTCTTCGGGAATTATAATGTGGTTATATTTTATGAACCGCGTTTTATTTAGATTAGAATTGAAGCTTTCTTTTTTTTTTCAATGAACGAACACCTAAAAACGTAAATAAGAGAGGAGTTATTAAATTTCCGCCCCATTCACCTTTCGTATATAAAAATATTTTGATGTAACGTTGTGATAAGTAAAAGCAGCAGTTCGTATAATATCCGGACTGACGGGCGTGTAGGTAAACCCACACAAAGTTAATCACAAGTCACTTGCAGATGCGTGTTTCCCACAAATTTGTTTTTGTTTTGTTACAGCTGACATTTTGATATAAAATAGTGACACCGGGTGTTTGATGAGTCTATTTGTTATTTTTTTCTTGAAAGTTTATTTTAAAATAATTCAGAATCAATAATTAATTAAATTGAAATTAATCTGAACTTGTAATCAGTGATTGATTACAAGTTTTGATAAGATTTCTTGCGCTAACAACTTTTTTACTATGACACACATTAGTTTTATTTTACTTCTGTCAGAAGAAACGTGCTAAAATGGTAATTAGGAACTGATGTATAGGAGTTTTTTTTTTTTTTTTTTTTTACGGATATGCGCACTCGCAAGGAAATGTCCTATCACGCTCGAGAAGCGGCAAGTGCGCGGAAATGTCGGTGTATGTTGGTCTTGAAACGGTTCAGGTTGTAACCTGCAGGGAAAACCGTCGCAGGGAGTTTATTCCACAGCGATGCTGTTCTCCAGAGATATGAATTCTGATATAATGAGGTTCTTGGTGCCTCTAGTTTGACAGTAAATTCATGGTTACCGTCTGTTTGACGGGTTCGCCTGGTAGGTGCTACTCTCGGTGGAATCATACGTGCCAACTCTTCAGAGCATTTTCCGTGATAGTACCTGTAGAAGAGAGATAAATCGCCCACAGATCTGCGATGTTCGAGACCATCCAAGTTACGAGTAAGTGCGGGGTCATTGATCAGCTTGATAGCTCGTTTTTGCACGGTATTCAAAAGCATTAAGGTATGTTTGGGTGCTGCACTCCATATATGTGAGCAGTACTCCATAGTTGGTCGAATCTGGGCTTTGTAGAGTGTCAGCAATTGGCTTGGTGTGTACAGATGTCTTGTACGAAATAGCACCCCCAGCTTTTGGGAGGCCCTTTTAGCAATATCTGCCACGTGACTGTGCCAAGACATGTTGGTCTCTGCAGTAACCCCCAAGATGTTCAACTGACTCTGTAATGTGACAGCACTTCCAGATAGCATGATGTTTGGCTCACCGGTGCTGGTCTTTTTTGAAAACAGAGCTGCTTGGGTTTTCTGCGCGTTGAACTGTACAAGGTTTTTGTTACCCCAGTCCTCTATTATCTCCAGGTCGTTATTTATCTGCGATATTTGAGTTAGTCTAAGATGATGGAATTCACGTGCGGAAAGACCTGTGGGTGGTATGAGTGAGGAGACTACATTGCCATCGTCTGCAAAGCAATAAAGTGGATTTACTGTTTTATCTATGAGGTCATTTATGTAAATCAGGAAAAGAGTTGGCGAAAGGATTGCTCCCTGTGGCACACCAGCATTTATTTGGTAAGAGTTGGAGTTCTGGCCATCCAGTGCAACATAAATGGATCTGTCCTTTAGGTAACTTTCAAACCAAGTGCAAAGTTTCGGCGATAATCCCATTGCTTTGAGCTTGTTGAGCAGATTTTCATGCCAAACTTTGTCGAATGCTTTAGATATATCTAAGGCAATTGTTCTTGTTTCACCCCGCAACTCAATCGCTTTTTGCCATAAGTGAGTGACGTATGTAAGTAAATCGCCAGTTGACCTATATTTTCGAAATCCGTATTGCTTATCGTTGATAATTTTGTACTTTTCCAAGTACTTGGTTAGGTGATTGTTCACAACTCTTTCCATTACTTTTGATATCACCGGAAGTAGAGCAATTGGTCTATAGTTTAACGGATCTGTCTTTTTTCCTTTCTTTGGAATGGGTTGTACTGCGGCAGACTTCCATGATGATGGATATACTCCTTGCCTGTAAGACAAATTGAATAATTTAGCGAAAGTTGGGGTGAGTTCGTTGGCGCAATTTTTGAGTACTATTGCGGGAATGCCATCCGGACCCATTGCTTTGTTTGTATCCAGCTTTTTTAGGGATTTTCGTATTTCTCTGTGACAAAAGTGTACCTCTGGCATACTATGGGAAACCCTTTCAATGAACGGTGGAGTTTTTCCGTTTGGCACTGTTAGGTTGGAGTTGGAGGAAAACATTTGGGCAAGCATATTGGCTTTTTCCTCTGATGTTGTGGCTAAGTGATTATTTTTATCTGTAAGTGGTGGTATGGATGACTTGGTGAAGTTAGATCCAACAGCTTTTGCAAGAGACCAAAAAGACCTAGAACTACTTGGACAATTCAGCAACCTGTTTTTTATTCTTTGATTGTATGTTTCTTTAGCGGAGTCAATAGTAATTTTGCAACTATTTCTGGCTTCTATAAATTCTGTGTGGTTTTGAGCGGTTTGTTGTCGTTTCCAAAGGTTATATGCTCTGTGTTTTTTCTGTACAGCCGTTTGACACTGGCTGTTGAACCAAGGTTTTGCATTAGCTCTACGTTTAGTTGTATGTGGGATATATGCGTCCATTCCAGGTAAGATTACTTGTGTTATTTCATTACATAGGTATAGGAGCTGCTGAATAGATTTTTGCTTTTTATGCCTCTGGAACCTTTCTAATAACCAAGAAAACAATTTGACATTAGGAAAGATGATGCATATTCAGCTTAACATCCACTAATCAAGGTATCATCAGATACACGACTTCCAAGCAATAAAATGAAGAAAACTTCTCAACATTGTTTCCAAGACGTTCGGTCAATCTGAGGACTGGTAATATCTCGGGTAATATTCACAGATTCTCAAGTTTTTCCAAGCATTATGGACACCAGCTCCGGTTGGCTATCATTATTGAATCTACGGTATTTGGTGATATCACTTATAATACATTTAGCTTTTTCTCTTTGTTATTTCTGCACCTTGAAATTTTGTTGTTTCCGTTAATTAATAACTTTTCTCCACGTCATAATGCAGCTCGTAATGCAGTTTGATAATGCAACCACATTCGTGATAATATAATAAATGTAACAAGAAGAAATCTGAGTGGGCCAACAATGTCCTAATTGCAAAATTATTATCTTTCAGAATGTTCGCCGTGACCAGATGCGGCAAATGTCACGCAGGAATTTCAGCGAACGAGCTAGTAATGAGAGCCCGAGACTTAGTTTACCACCTTCACTGTTTCTCTTGCACCTTATGCGGAATACCATTATCGAAAGGCGACCATTTCGGTATTAGAGAAGGGCTTATATACTGCAGGTACAGTTCAAGTGAATATAACTTTGTGGTTTTATTTCAATATATTTATAAAATAGGCCGCATTACGAAATCATGGATACATTTGACCCCCACGGTGATGGGCCCATATTTTCGGGAGGTGAATCTCCAGGGTACTATCCACCGAATACGCCACCTCAAAATCACAAAGGGAGACCCAGGAAACGAAAACCCCTTGTGGACGATTGTAGCGATTTACCTGTAGGGATGAGAATGGCTGCTGCAACTTTAGGTAAGAAATTATTGTGTGTATGTTTTATTTTGTTTCCCCCTTCTGTATGATACGTTGTGTTTAAAAAAGCGGGTGATTTGAAAACAATAGCAATGGATAATAATACGCTTTTGTGTTATACCAATAACACTTTTTCCCCCTAATGGGCAAACACAATCGAATCTATATATGTTTACTATATACATTGTTTTATTTTCTTTTTGTACATTTTTGACCCCTTGTATATATTGTGTTTTGTTGTTCGCGGACTGTGAGGGTAACAATCGGCAAAATACTCGGGAAAGAAAAGAAACAAAAAAATAAAACCCGAGAGAGTAAGAGGCTCATTTCAAATGCATCGATTTGTTGAAAATTTATTGTCGGCACTTTAGGACTACAATCGGGCTCCCAGAATCCGAAGAAACGAGAACAATGTTTGGGAGTTTTATTTTTTTAATTGCGGTTTTTCCCATTGATGCCGCATTTAGGCTTCACGCAACGAAACCGTATTTTTTCCGGTCGTACATCTGGGAAAAAGTCTAAATTTGACAACGCAGCCAAGTAGTTGTCTCGCGGTTCCCGAGTTCCACCGCAACAAGTATCGATCCCGTATCGACTACGTAATTTATTGGGTCGCCGGTTCGGTGGGTGGCCGAGCCGAAACAGTTGACAGTTGAAAAGTGTCTTTAGATCCCTATTGGATAAGTCTCATCCGGTAGCCCCATTGGTTTTTAAAAAACATTATGGCCGCTTAGGAATTTTACTTTGTTCGGACAGACCTATCGTCGGCTATAGGATAATTATCCATTCTATTATTTATGGGTTGGCGACACCTGCGGTCAATTAAAAAATACTGAAGAGTTTACTAAATCACACTCCTTTGCCTTTGTGCATTAAGGTATCTTTTATTATTTCAAAACTGTACTAGAAGATATTATAGGTGGGAAAAGATAACTAGAGAGATAATCAGGACTTGACAAGTAATAAAGTTCAGTATCTAAATAGATAATTCACTATATTCTTACATGGTGTCAATAAGGTAGTAAACATGCCCGAAAATAAACGAAAAATTAATGAAAAGTCACTTTTAAATGTATGGAATAATTAAATTAGCAAAAAAATCTTTCAGTTGGATGCATTATTAACGCTCAAATCAACCAACAATAACAAAAATGAATCAGGCTGAATGTATTCAAAAACAAAATAAAAATTAAAAAAGAGATTTTTGAATGATAAAAAAATAAATACCGTAAGGAAAAATTATAATTTAAGATTTAACCAAATTAGAGAAGTATGAAAAAATGGAAAATGTTTAAGATGTGGTTCAATAACAAATAAAAATATAACTCATAAATGTGGCATTTGGCATTAGAGGACATAACGCAAAATATCGTAAAACAAGAAGTATCAAGGAAACAAATAAGCAACTTCAGGTCCCTGTGAAGAATAATATCACCCTATTATGAATATACCAAGAAACATCGGCTCTTTGGTGTATTCCCAAAGTTGTATCCCTACCAAGACTAACTTGCTATTTGCTTATATAGGAGTAATTTGTTATGTAGAGGTAGAGTAGAATTCCTCTTATCAGCTGATACTTTCTCCTATGTCTTATTTCAAGTTCTTGCCTTTTCTTTTTACCATGAGCATTCCAGCGGAGCTTTGTATCGGGTGATAAACCTAGACTTTTCGCCGTGTTTGAGTATGGTACCACGGTATTATTGATATTTACTGTTGCAAAACTTTATTGGTTTCATTAAGTTCGATTTTCCATTTTTGTTGGTACCTACTTTAACTTCCTATCTTCTTCATTTTCATATTATTTCAAATCCTCAAAATGCACTACCTATGTTCGAGTTGCGAAGGTTAATAATTTATCCCAGTAATTGGTATAATTTGGTAAAGCCAAAGTTGGACTAAGACACTTTTTCTCCTACAAAATAATTTTTATTTGGAATATTATACAGGGTGTCCACTTAGTGCGATATCGGACGATATCTCCTTACAGGGTGATGCAAGAAAAAAAAAATTACAAAGTTGTTTGATACTCTAATATACATTAGTTAAAAATATTTTTGGGGTTATACTATATACTATTTAATAAAGGTTTTTCAAATTTTTGGTGGATTCACCGGCGAGCAGAGCGAGCAATCGAAGACTCAAAAATATTTTGAACAAGAACGTCTATTTGAAAAAGGTTTTTCACGTTTTTGATGGATTTGCTCTCCCGAGGTTTGGCCAACATAGCGAGCCATCGAATACTCAAAAATAATTTCAAGGTGTATGCAGAAGGATTTTCAATAGGTTGCTGTCTAAAATGACGCTAATTTCAAAAATCAACAAGTTTAAAGTCTAAATAAGAAATATGTTAAGTACTAATAAAGGCTTAGGTATTACTCAGTGGATGAATTTCTTAATGACAATTTTGCAAACAAACAAAATTGTATTAACGCATTTAGCTAGCAAGAGCTGACTGGTAGGACATACGAATTCTTAAGTAATAAAACACGTCCAGTAGGCGCTTAATCAATTTACGAAAAAGGACCTACTTACCTACCAGTAGGCGCACAATCGGTGGATGAAAAAGGCCCTACTGGTAGACGTACGACCGTTGAATAACAAAAGACCTACCGGTAGGCGTAGGGTTTACTCCCTATTCCTAGTTTATAGTTTAGACCTTCGTGCCATAACTTTATCAAAAGCTTCTACTATATCTAGAAATATTGTAGAGCATACCGATTTTTCTAATTAATCTGTTACTCTGTGCACTTGGTCTATTGTAGAATGTTTGTTTCTGAAACCAAATTGATGATTAGGGATCAATACCTTGGCCCTTGGTTTCAATAATGGGTTCTATTCTTTTTAAAAGAAGCTTTCCAAACAGTTTTGATATTACAGGTAAGAAATAATGTTATGGGTCTGTACGATGTTACTTCATGAGGAGGATTCCCGCGCTTGGAAATCACGATGACTTCAGCTATTTTCCAAAATCTAGGAACATCTTAACCTAAAGGCAGCAATGATTAAGTTTGTTAGTTTAACAATAGCTTTTTTTGGGAGTTGTTTCAGTATTTCTCCATTTAAATCAAAGCCAAGGGCCTATTTGGGGTGATATTTTCTTTTATTTCGGCGTATTCCTCCTTTGGTAACGTAAGTCTGATTACTTGTTATCCTTCAACTGGTCCATTCCAGTCTGGTTCTGGATCTTCATTTGGTTTAAATATTTATTCTAGATGATTTGGAAAAATTTCTGATTTTTGAATGTTGCCTACTTCTCATTTACTTGTTTAAGTGGCGGGTTCTGAATTATAGGTCTATTAACTGTTTTAGTAGCTTTCCAGAGAGAATAATCAGTAATGTTATCATATGTTATATCTCTCGGGTACCTAACTATTGATATAATCGTCTTTAATTTGCTGAATCTCTCTTTATAGATACTCAATATCATATTTAATCTAGTTTTTCTCAGGAGCTCTTGTCTGTTACCAGTTCCTTCCAAGCTTCCTTTTTTCTGTGAAGACTGTGATGAGTTTTCGAATTTCGAGAGTATTCCTTCATGCTGAAGATTGGATATCACCGAGGATATCACTATCAAATGCCTCTACTTCCAGTTCTGATTGCTTTTCATTGTATAATGGAACTGCCAGGTTAATTTCTCCTCAAAGCAAAGATTCAAGCTTTCCCAATCAATAAATGTATTTACTTAGGTTGGATTATGTTCTTTTTCAGTTATATTATCACTAATATCACTCAATGTTAGTAATATTGGCGAATAATCAGAATTCATTCCTTCTTTAATTTGAAGATTGGTGGTTATATTATGATATAAAAGTATATTATGCAATGATCATTTCATGGCCATTACATGAGAGTTGCATACACTATTTTTTCTACTTCCATTGATAGAAGAAATACATATTTATTTTAAGAATGGTAAACCCCTCGTTTTTATCCTCATCGGTGACTTCACCGATGAGTTAGCTATATTTGTTTAGTGAATGGAAAATGACAATGATGGCCATAGAATGGTGGATCCATCGATAAAATTTGATGAGAATAAAAACTCAGGGATACTTCTCAACTGGTGACAAGTGTTGACAATTTCGGAAATTAAGATCTAGACATCATTTGGGCAGAAATTCCGCACCCGATTTATTAATTTTTTGTTATTTAATTTAGTAAATACTAATAGAAATAATCCAAAATTTCAAAACAAGTCTGTAATTTTTATATAAACATTGTTCATGTTCAAAATAACTCGATTCCAGTGGCTAAAAAATCTGTATCATAATGAAAATTTGTAACAGAATGAAAATTTGTATCATAATGAAGTTCATTATGAAACAGATTTTAAGCGTATTATGAAACGTCAGTAGAAATAAGATCCAGGTACTTTATTTTGGTCTGTTGGCCAGTAGGCTGGTATATTCATTCCTTTGCTGGTAGTTAGCCTAGATCCCCAGGTGGGTACTTATTCTTGGAAGAGGGAATCAGCGTTCCCAGGAGGACGAGTGTTCCGTCTTTGTTACTTATATTATCATTTGCATATCATTGAGAAACAGGAAACTCTCGTTCTCCTGGGAACGCTACTCCCCTGTTTCAAAAATAAGCACCCTGGTAGTCGATTCTCGAATTTGGTAGAAGTGAACGTTCCCCTAGGAGAAGTGAGAGATCACATCGCACGCTCGTTCTCTTGATGCCAAAGTTGGTATTCTCGAACGTATAGGATTATGATAGAATGAGAGAAAACTTGTCAAATAATAATGCGTTGTTGCCAACAGTAATATGTAGAATTAGCCACAATTTTGGTGCGTTAAAAGGACGAATGTCATGAGAAAGAAGAAAACCGGTATCCCTGCGTTTTTATTCCCATCAAATTTTCCACCATTCTATGTCGGTCATTATCATTTTCCATTCACTAAACAAAGATAGCTAACTCATCGGTAAAGTCCGATTAGAATACAAACGAGGGGTTTGTTTTATTTGTGTTTTGGGACGTAATCTCATTCTTTGCTTATTTA